CTCAGTCCTTGGCAGCAGCGTGTGATACTTCCACGTTCCTACAGATCAGCTGGAGCGTCTCCCCTGCCTCAGAGAACGCCACTGCTGGCCAAATATAGGCTGCGCGGTGCCTCCTCTCCCGGTATGAACCTGTGCGAGTCACCCCCCCAGTGCCTCAGTTTGCCCATTCAGCACATATGAACCTTTTGCTATGTTCTATTATTACCGTCAAGCAGAACAGGCAAATTTTTGGCGGACAGGGTGGGAAGCAGTTGCTGAAAAAGGTAGATGTAGAAAGTTGAAATACTGTTGTACTGCCATACACATTCTCTATTCCAACATATTTATTTTCTTGGCACCTCGGCTCTGCTCCTATTCTTGATTCAGGAGATGTCAGTGAGGGAGTAAGCACTCCTGCCACCTATCTCAGTTGCATAATGTTCCCTTTGATTATCCATAGCAAATGCCCAAATATGTTTTGACGTGTTTGGTAACTAACAAGGAAAAAGATATTTAACTTTCATTTGAGTATGTTGTTTCTCATTGTTGGGTTCCCTGTTGTGAATGTATTTGTTCTATACATGCTTACTAGTTGCACAATTCAAAACAAAAGTACTCAATTGGCATAACAAGCAGTACAGTTGTTGCCAAAACACAGAAAGGGATCAGAAGTCAGAGTTGCTGTCTGAGGTAGATGTGATAAATTAAGCTTCTTGAATCAAGTCTAGATTAGGGTTTCAAAATACTAAATGTGGTTTTATCCTTTTGTCCAGTTGTGAGTATTGTTTATTTCCATTTTGCAATTACTTTTAATGTAGGGTTGCATTAAAGTGCATAAAGTTATTTAGTCATATGGCAAAATGGGAATAGATTGATATAAACTATTTTCCCCTCGTTTTCATTGTATACATTGACACATTAGTAAAAAGCCATGCTAGCTGGATGAACACTAAAAAGGAGTATTCATCTATCTTGGATACATAGATTTCACATATTTCCAGTTGTGAGTCTACCTCTACAGAGGATTCAGTGGGGTATTTTGGGATCAGCTGAAATGAAAGGTGATTAAACAAACAAATAAATCCAAGAGTGATGGTAAAGGATTTCAAAGTTTTCCCCAAATGAAATAAAATAATAGCATTCATTAATAACCAAGAAAGACAAACCCTTTGCTTTACAAATGCTGTAATTTGTATGAAATCTAAAAAACCTCTGGTAGAAGCCACTTTTAAGTAAAATATCACTACACCTTTTTTATTCCCCAACTTCACCCAATCCTGAATGAAGAACCACTTTTTAGCTTTTCATTGCTGGGCAGGAAGATTTTTGTTGAGTTTCCTGGCTGCAACTCCTTACTGCATATGAAGATTTGTGTTACATGTGTGCAATAATATTTTCAAATTAGTAGTAAAATGTTATGAGACACTGGCAGCATCAACCCAATTAATACAAACTTTAATTGAGCTGCCTCTGTCCAATTGAAATCTGCTGTCTCTATGTTAGTGAGATAGTATCTCTTAGATCCCATTCATGGGTCTGGACAAGAACACCATAACCTGCTTCCTGAGTACTGGGGCAGGCAAAACTGAAAAAAGACACTCAGGTGGGATAGGAATCTACAATCTATGTGAATATTATAGGTGATTATTAGTGGTATAGTGTTCAACTTCTAAAAAAAAAATCCACCCTCAGTTGTAATGGTTCTAAAGTACAAAGGAACATATGCATGAACTTTTTATGCAAATCTCTGTGAGGTCTGAAATTAACTAGTGTCAGCACTTTCACTAAGATATCATATCAGTTATTTATGGTGTATTGATCACTGTGTTTAGTCATGATTGATATCAGCAAGCAATAAATCTTTGATTTAAATAATTGATTTTAATCTTGTTTTGCATTTGTACTTTTCTGTTATTTTCCCAAAATGTATTGACATGAATTGGTTGTTAACCATTAAAACATGTTTATTAGCAACTAAATATATCCTTTATTGTAATTTTATACTTCTTTTTGTGACTCTGAAGAATACAATATACTCATTTATGTAAACTGTTTTATAGCTTGCCTCCTATTCATCTAGATTCTTACTTTTTTAGATTTTGTTAAAAAGTCATAACTTTCTTGCTAGATGAATTTTTTCTTACGATTTGTGTCAAGCTGCATTTGGATAGAAATTGGACTTAAAACAGACAAAGCATTTTAAAAATGTTCTTTATTTAAGTTAAATAAAACTAATAAGGAAATTTATCAAAACACATTTTTCTTTAATAATCAGTTTAAAAATGGAATTATTATTTGTAGTTAGTTATTGGAGAGATTGTTTCTGGTCACCATGGCCCAGATCCGGAAAGAGAACTTAAGTATCTAAACCCGTTTTAGGTGTCTATGTTTCAGATTTAAGCTATGTCTACATTTGCAATTGATCAACAAAACTTTTGTCATTCACCAGTCCTTAACACACAGACACACACATCCTGACTGACATAAGTTTTGCCATAACAAGTGCTAGTGTGAATCCTATTTTGTTGGCAGGAGTGCTCTGCTGCTGACAAAGTGAAAGCCAATCATCAGGAATAGAAGTATTTTGTTGGCAAAAGTGCGGACAGGCAGTGTCACACACACTGACTTTTAGCTACAGGACTATGTTGACACAGCTTTGTTGCAAAAAGATGCAGAGTATAGACATACTCTTAAGCACAGGTCTGATCCGCATATGGCCTAGTTGGCTGTCACCTAATCCTGTAGGCCAGTGCTCTCCAACCTTTTTAGCCACAAGTTCACTTTTTCAATTTAAGTGCAATGTAAGATCTACCCTTGCCCTTCCTTCCTGCCCCTTCATTGAGAAACTGCCTCTGCTCCGTCCCTTCTTCAGGCTTAGCTCCAGGCTTAGCCCAAGCTGGGAGATTGGGGGCTGTCAGGGTGCAAACTCTAGGAGGGAGTTTGGGTGCAGGGGGGGACTCATGCTTGGGGCAGGAGGTTGGGTGTAGGAGGAGGTTCAGGGCTGGAACGGGTTCAGGATGCAGTCTCTGGTTGGGCACGGTTTAACTGAGATGGCTTCTGGGTGGTAGGGCAGTGGAGTTAAGGCAGGCTTACTTCTGCCCTGACCCTGCACCTCTCCTGAAAGCAGCTGGCATGTACAACAGTGGCTCCATGGCACTGAGTCCACAGCTTCTACTGGTCACAGTTCCCCATCACGGAGCTGCAGGAGTGGTGTCTGCAGGCAAGGACAGCATGTGGAGACCCCATGCTCTGCCCTTCTCAGGGGCTGAAGGCACATGCTTGTCACTACCAGGAGCAGCAATTACCATAGGGATAATCTCTGCAGCCGTGACAGGTCAGGCATTTTAGAACTCACTCCTCAAAGAATTAAATTTAAGCATAAGAGAGAAATGAAAATTGTGAAATGCACAGACCAGTCAAAAGCCTAAGATAAAACTCTTTGCAAGCAATAAAAGACGTAACAGGAACTCACGTATGTGTTGGGTTGAGAGATGAAAGTGAAGGGCAGTGTGTGTGAGAATGACAGAGAAACACACACTGTGTGAGAGTGACAGAGATTTGCATTGCCAAGCTCCCTCCACCTTCTTTCAGTGTAGAGATAAGGTACAGAAGTGGGAGGGAGGAGGAACATTCTCACATCAGAGATCTCCCTTTTCTCCCTCCTACACTCTGCACAGCAAGCAAGAGACTTCCATAGGGACAGCTCCAAGGCAGAGGGCAGGAACAGCATGACAGTGGGTGGAGGGACGACTGAAGTGTCAGCGCTTGATAGTTTCCTGGCCAAACCAGTCAGGATCACCTGTCAGAGGCTTCAAGATCTACCAGTAGATCCAGATCTGCTGGTTGGTGACCACTGCTGTAGGCATTTAAACTCAGTGTCTAAATTTCCTCAGTAAAAGTTCCCTGTGCCTGTGTTTCTATGTCTGTGCATATGCCCTTCAGTCTTGCACTAGGCATTCAGACTCCTATTTGATTCCTAAGTTCTGGTGCGGTCCACAAACGAGGGATAAATAGGCAGAACAGTGTGTGTCTTGCTTGAGAGACCCAGTCTGGTGACTGTGCTGAGAGCATGCCTAACTCCACACAAAACAGGTGGGAGAAAGGGAAAGGAAGAAGAAGAGGACTCCCTTATCAGTCATAGCCCAGTGGTTAGGGATTTCATCCAAGCTTGAGACAACTTTTGAATTTTTGAATTTCACTTTGAGGAAAAGGGATTTTGAGCAGAAATTCCTCATCTACTGAGTAACCTATGCTGTAAGCTATGGTAATATTCTGGTGTAGACTCACTCAACCACTAAACTTGGCAGATGGATATCTTCTCAATAATGTGAAGATCTTGGATGTATACCTCTTCCCCCCTCCCCCCCACCTATGATATATATGGTCAAGAAAATAAAAAGACAAAGATGAGAAAGTATTCAAAATCTTCATACTGTTCATAAAACTTCAAATATTCTTGAGTTTGACAGCTAGTGAGTAAGCACAATTTTAGAATTCCACTTCACAAGAAAACAAAACAATAAATCTGTTCATCAGATCCAAACAGGCTGGATGTAGCTGCTGGGAGATCAAAAGATGATTCTCGAAACTTGGACATCCGTTGAGTTAATAAGAAGAGATTCCTTGAGTGTCAAAGATTTAAGTTAATTTGAAAAAATGTTTTATTAATACTTGAAAAATAAGACAAGTCTTTGATTAAAGTACAAAGATTTTTCCACTCAGAATAATGATGGGGCTGTAGATCAAATTCTCTAAATACTCACCTTTTAAATGTTTACTGACGGTGTCTTCATTCCAGCCAAACCCAAGTATTGTGCTACCTTTGTTTGCTCTAAACCTCAGGTGTTGGGAAGAAAATTTGTACAGTCTATGTATTATATTATTCATCTTTTAGATATAGATCTAGGCAGTGAGTAGGAGTTAGAGATGTCGAGCTTGAATTAACACTTTACCCTCTGCATTAGATTTCTGTAGTGGACAAGTTTAATGTGCTTGCAGTAGCTTGTATTACTGAGCGACGTCCTGCAGCATTCACTATTAGGGGTACATCTACACAGCAACATTATTTTGAAATAACTACTGTTGTTTTGAAATAACAGTCTGTGTCTACACAGCAGGCAGTTGTTTTGAAATAATGTCGAA